TGACTAATAATAAATGTAAACAACAAATTGTTGAAAAAACAGTATAAATATAATCGCTTGAGTTAGAGACATGCATCCTTGGCCCGTCCTCTCCTATTATTATTTATACTTATTATTACAATAACTATTAGATTAGGTTATTCTTATCATAATTATAAAAATTAATTTTTAACTGTTCATTTAATTATGCAACAAATTTATTTTGTAAAGAAAAAGAAACATATATTTTATAATTTTCTTTATTAAACTGAATAATTATAGAAATATTATAATTTTTAAATTGGTTTAGTATTTTAACCATATATTGTAAATTTTATTATCGTTGCTATTTCTAAGAACTCTGAATTAAAATGTTTTTTCAACATGATAAAAATATAATAATACTTCTTAGTATTAAAATACTTAAATTATATTTGAAAAATGTAAGAGAAATATTAATAATAGTATTAATAATAAAAGCATAGTAATAATATTTATTTAAAAAAGTCTGTCAAGTTTTGTTTTCGAAATTACATACATCAAATTTTCAGCGTAATCATATAATATATATCAAATTTGTATATTGATTGTCAAGTGGCCCGATTAGTTCAACTGATTACACTGCGAGTTGAAATCTCATCATATTACATCCAACAGAACCTGGCAAGGTACCAATAAGTTCCTCGAATCAGCAACACCACTACAATACAGCTTAATGACAATGTCAGAAAATTGACAAAGTTAAATTATGATGAAATTAGTTATTTAATTTTGATGCAGAAGACCAATTTTTGTGAAAATTATTTCTGAATCGTGAATTTCAAAAACGGCTGAATTCGAATTTTTTAAATTTCCCTTTTTTGAATTTTTGGAATTATTTCATATTTATTGACGTTTTCTCAAAAGGAAAACCTCATGTGAAGTCCTTTTAGTCGAAAAATGGTGATACAAAATTTTCCTCTTATTGTAAAACAATTTCGAAAAGTAATTCATACTCAAATTTTTACTCAACTCATCAAGAAAATTAAATTAAATTTAGTAATAATATAGGATATTTCTGTATAAAAATGAAATTTCAATTACTCCAAATAACGTACATAAAGAAAAAATAATGAAAATTGAATTTATTTTTGTACACGTTGAATGACGAGCATACTCGAATTTTTCATACATGACACAAGCTAGTAAAAATATTTTTCATAATAAGTAAAATACGTTAAAATAACATTTAAAAAATACATTAATAAACCTTACAAACAGGAAGCTAAGTATACATTAAAAATCTTATAAAACACTACGCAAAATAATAAAGTGTACACTAAAATAAACATACAAAAAAATTTATATTACATATAATTATAATACTTCTTATGACAAAATTTTGAAAATGTCAAATTAATAAGAGGAAAATTGGAAAAAACTAAATGAAAAAACTTATAAACCTTCTTGAAATTTTGCGTAGTTGGTGAATAATTACACTCGTGGCTCCTAAGGATTTTGTCAGCTCCTCTTTTCATTGTTCAGGGGTTTTCCATTATATTATTCTTTATATTAAATGATGATTCTAGATTCATATACTAGAAGACTACTTCATCTAGAACAAAAAAATTGAAAGTACTGTAATAAGTATTAATTTAAAAAAATTAACAGTTGCCGTAATTGTTAAATTGAGACATTTTATAAATTTTTTTTTTACATTTCAGGTTCCTTTATTTAATGATACTTTATTTGAAATTAAGTTGTCTTACCTACTCAAAGTATGAGGCTATTTTAGCATCAAACTTTTCCTCTATTAATTTACAAAACGAAATTTTGGTTTGTAGAAAAAACTCCTCAATTTTGCTGTAATTACTTCAAAAAGAAAAGCAATAATAGAAAGAGAATATCCAACAACTAGTACACAAAGAAGCACTGGCAATAATTTTTCCTTTGTTATTAATTCCGGTTCCGTTATGCTACTCCGTAAATTTGGGATGTCATCATAAAATTCCTTAAGTAATCCAAAACCAGACGCTTTGAGAATTATTTCATTAATCCGTTCAGTATAAAGTGAATCCGACTTCATTATAAAGGCACGGATACCATTACTGATAGTTTTTCGCAGTATTCTTACATTTATAAAGCCGTGTTTAACTTGATAAGCATTCACATGATATGCAGCATCATCAAGAACACAACTTATGTTTCGATATTTAGCTAAAAATTTCAAACATTCTTCCTCATCACCATTTGCAAATCTAGTGGATTTATCTAGCCACTGTTGAATAGAAGACTTTTCAGTTTCCTGTCTTCTGTAGTATGGTAAATCGTAGCCTATCCTTGGCGTAATGTGGGATTTAACAAGTTCAGTAAAATTTGAAATTTCTGGGGATGATCGAATACTAATATCAAGAATAACGGAGTAAATATAACCTGAGTAAACGATGCAGGAAATCAGTAGTGTACCATAAATTATTCTAGCAGCCAATGTATCTGGTTTCTCGGGATTTGACATTCCGATTACAATTTGACTGATGTTTAAGGTTTGCCATGTACTCCTTCTAAATTTCAATAAAAATGCCAATAGTCGTATGATAGCGATCGTACCAATTGTTGCCGAGGTCATATACCAAAATTCTGATGAAACTTCAATGTCTTTACTGACTTTAACATCGTTTGGAATTACTGCCCTAAGATTAGTAATTCTAAAAATTTGTGCATTTGCAAGTGCTGCAATATTTTTTCTATATGTTGTTATAATATTTAACTTAATTTCAGTGTCTGTATCATATGATTGATCAAGAAGTTCATCCCAAAGAGAAAAACTATCTTCTTCATTGGCGGTCAGGACTACTTTGCCACCCTTAGATATTCGATGTCGTATTTTTGGTTGAAAATTCATTTCTTGCTGCAGAATATCCAAAAATTTTATTCCTCTCTTATATTCGTATTCAGATGAATCATTAACAGGTTGACAAGAGAAATCCAATTTTTTTCCATTTAGATTGAAAAGTTTATTTGGAAACCATTGAGATTTAAATGAAAGTGGATTTGAAGAAGAGATGTTGAAAAATGGATTCATTTCACTTACAATTAGCACTGGAGAAGTTTGTTCAATTTTTCCTTTAACATGTTGACTGTAGCTTACAACACTAATATCCAAAAATTCAATTTTATGAAAACTGTTCAAGACATTTTCTATATCGTCTTCACTTACGGGAAAAGAGATTACAACTAAACATTTTGGTTTCAGTGTTTCCCGAAAAATATATGAAATTTTCTTAAATATGCTTTCAAATGCCGAATCCGTCAATATCTGTAAAACAATAAGTGTAGTTCTTTTTACAGTTTTGAGTAGTTTAAAGAATGATTCTTTTGCATTTGAGAATTCCAACTCTTCGTAATTGACTCTGTAAGATGGGAAATGCGAATTTACTGTTTTGATGAGAGAATTCATTATTATATCCGTACTGTTTAGTGAATCATCCAGAATAAATACAGCCTGGTGCAATTTTGAATCCTCCTCTAGATATTTTACCAATCCATCAAAAATTGAACTGTTCGAATTATTAGAAAATTCACTATTCGGAGACATTCCTAGTATTTCTCTCCAAGAAACAAAAAGGAAAAGAAATATTCATACAAACTTCATAATGTACAACCACTTCCCTCTGTGGACAATAACAGACTGAAAAAAATTATTGTCCAAAGTAATTTACCTAAATCATCAAGAAAATTATATTAATGTAATAATATTAGTTTTTCCCGAAACAATTGAAATTGAAATTACTTCGAAAATTAAGGTATGTAAGTGGAAAAGAAATGAAAGCATATTTATTTTAGTAACCGTTGAATGACGTAAATATATTTTCACTTTTTATATGTGCCTATATGACGGAAGTTAATAAAAATAATTGTGTCATTATGATACATTGGGAAAAGAATTAAAACTTTTTAGTTATAATGCAACTATGAAATTTTTCTTTAAACTAAACCAAAGTTATTTTCTTCCTGCAATCTTGACATAAAAATTTCATTTTTTTCGTATGTGGTTCTTCAAACTTGCTATTTTCCCATGTTCGGTACCTTCTTCTTGCTCACTGTCATCCTCCTGATGACTACCTTTAATATTGTTTTTTATTCCATTATCTTCAATAAAACTTTATTATACTAGTACGTGTGCTTATGCCCTCATAATGTTTCGTCATTATTTAGAATGCATGTAGATACTTTGTATCAAACATTATGATTTTTCTCGGTGATGCCGACTAAGTCATAAAGAACAAAGAGCACGCCTACTGTTACGTAAAAAGGGTGTCAAGCGAAACTTTGAGAGCATCAAAGTGGATAGTTAGTTACTTTAAGGCAAATTTTCAAGTTGATAGAAGGACAAAAGTGTGCTAGTGCTTTGAAGCTGATACTCTTGGTAAAGAAACTGTGGATATGTTATACAAGAAATATATCTATATGAAAGGTCTTATATTACTTCCTTGTCATGCATTAAGCACTTCTTAGAAGTTTGTCGCCACTCAAGTGGTTTTGACATTATTTAACTTCAAATTGTCTTCTATTTCAGTTTTAAATAAAAGCAAAATTTGTATTCCTCTAAAATAACCTTTAAATTTTTACTAAAATCCGCAACAAAGTTTAAGCAGAAATTTTTATATTCACTTCATGAACATTTTGCTTCCTCATAAAGATTTTTATTTTATGAATGTTATAATTATATTATTGACATACTTACATTATTTTAATTATGTACACTAAAAACTGCTTCCTCATATTTCAATAAAAAAACGTTATTATATTTCCACAAAATTTTTTGTTTTGTACGTGATATAAACAGTTTTTTTAGTTTTTCTTTATAAATAATAAACCTACGTGCCGGAAATTTTTGGACATAGGCTGTTTCGGTAAAACTAACTTATATATTGAATAAGAAAAAATTTCACTGAGTCATTTCTCAGAAAATTGAAGTGGTTTACTGTTGACGCTGGTTCAATGTATATGATAGCCAATGGGTTTAAAATTAAGAAAATCAATAATTGATAAACTATTTAATATACAATTACACAGACTCCTTTTTTATTAACAATATTTTATCTTTTATGTGATCCACTTCTAATTCAATTCTAGAAACTTTATAATTTCGATCCTCTTCTTCAACTTTATTAACATAGTAAGTCATATTCCCTCTCGCTTTTGATCCTGTTACTGGAAGACTGTACCAAAATTTCTCCGTTTCTGAATCATACCCAACTCCATTTTTATAGTCAATCTTACCACCCGATATTGATTTACCCAATTGTTGTTGAGCCTCAGGATGATCACATAAGCAGTCCATAGCTTCTTTGTAGCATAAAGATTTGCGTACACTATTTTCGGTATGATAGTGTGCAAACAGTCCAAATGCGGAAATACCACATGCTCCATAGACAGCTACTTTTGCAAGTGTAGCAGTTGCTACCATCTGTAAAAAAAGGTTTCTTCAGAGTAAAGTATAATAATAAAAAATAACATGTTCTATTCAGTGAAAATTAACATTATGCTAGTCAAAGATAAATTATGATTTTAATTATAAATGTTTGAGTCACAAAGCTTCCATAAAGACAATAATCAATTGAATAAAGAGAATTAATTTTTATTTCCTAAACAGGTTATCGAAAAATGAAACATAAAATGTGAACATAATAATTTTATAATAATAAAATCATACATCCAGACAATATATAAGAAATTTATTTACATTTGTTATATTGAAGAATTACACAAAGCATTCTCCATTAAAAAGAAATATGATAGAGGACTTTTCATTTCATATTTATTTGTGTATATTTAACACTAAGTAAAAAACTGTATCGAGCTTAAAATTAACATTTTTAGGATTGGATTAAAATTTGACTGAATTATAGTAGTAATAAATCTAAATTCAGCCAGCAAACGATTTGATACAATGGCGGTGGATTGTCAAGATAAATGTGCTCTAAATTATGACTCTCATGCGCTACGTCTAGATTTCTCGTTACAATTTTTATAAAAACTTAGTTTAATGAAACTTTTAGTAATTGAAAATTTTAAAAAATTAAAAAGAAACATTAAAAATGAACATTTTTTGACAATTTTTTAAACTCTCATATTTTTTAAAAAATTGCAGACAAAGTTTGAAACTTTATATAGGTATAATCCTTCAAGTCTCATCTTTAATTTAATACCATAAAAGAGTTAAAAAATCTTATTAGGTTCGCGAGAAATCATTATAAATGTCAGAGCATGTTTTTGGACAAATGCACTAAATTAGTCAATTTTTTACGGTTTTTGACTGAAAATGCTCGGACGTTTATAATCATATATCTCACGAACCGAATAAAATTTTAAAACTTTTTCATTTTTAAATTAAATATGAGACTTGAAGGATGAAAGCTATATAAGTTTTAAATTCTGTCTGAAAATTGTTAAAAAATACGCCACAGTTTAAAAAATTGTCAAAAAATTTTTATTTTTAAATTTTTTTTCAAATTTGTCGATTGTTAATTTCAATTATATATCATTTAACGTAGAATATTATAAGCTTTCGAGTGATCTTTTTATTAATTAAAACTGTTTTAACAAGAAAAACATGTTTTTAAAATATATTTACAATAAAAAGACAAAAAAAATTATTGACTTTTAAAAAAAAGGGGGGGGGGATTTTTTATTTATTAGAAAAAAAATTTGTACTATATTCGAAAGAGGAGAAACTCAAAAATAATATAAGTCAACATTTTTGTTATTTCTTCTTGAATATTAATAATTTGATTTTTATAGAAAATACTATTTTAATAAATAATATTTTAATTATTTTAATGTTAATTAATTTCTTTTCTAGAGGTCTGCATTCTATGGGATGAACATAATTTTGTAATTTAAACGAAAAAGACAAATAAATTTTAAATCCGTTTTAGAGGAAAGGCAAAGATTTTGATTTGAAAAAAATTACAATTTTCTGCTCGATTTTCTGTCAATAAGAAACATTATTGTTAAATTTTAGGTTATGTTTCTGAAATTATTTATTATTGATGACAAAAAATTATAATTTTTATTGAAATATAACTTTAAATTGTTGAAAGTGTAGAAAATTAAATTCCTTACGCTTCTACCAAAAGGAATTAAAAAATTTAATGTGACCTTTTTTAAAATACGAAATTATGACATTGAAGTACTATAACTTTTGTTCCGATTGTTTAGATTCTTCTTTAAAATTTAATGTATTAAGAACAAATTAAATTTTTAATAAAATAAATGAAAAAATGATAAATAAAATTTCCTCGAACGTTAGGTTTAATAAAATCAAATTTAACTAACTGACTAATAAATAATTTTACAAAAATGAATGAGAAGAAAGAAACATTTTAGTTATATTTTACAAATAAAAAAATCACCCGCCCCTAAAATATTTCTCTGTTACTACGCTACTGCATTTCACATTGTAGTTAACTCTCCTGGTTGTCAATAGTGGTGGTCAAAAGGAATTTATACTGCAAGTATTTCAATAACAAAGGGAAATTGTTTCACTGACATACATAATATTAAATTTGAAACTAATAAAATGGATAAAACTACATAAGAATAACTGAAACTCACCTTGGTTTAAATAAAACGAAGAGGATGTTGTGATTGCAATTTTTGAGGTTAAGTAGGTGTCAAATATTTTCCTATTATATAAAATTATTATGTGCTAAGGTTTATTTCGAACCTAAATTCTAACTTGACGACTTGCCTGTGAGTTGAGATCAATACTTAATTTAGCAAATGTACATTTTTGATAAAAATAAAGAATAGTTCTTGTTTTTCAATCTCCGTTTCTGTTTTTAAATAGTTCTCGAACGTGTGTAATGTGAATGACATTTTAGCCCCTGACCATTGATTACACCGGTGTACACCGCTGTATTTTCTACTTTACTTTGCAGTTTAAAAAAAATTTGAAAAATTTAACTTTTGAAATTCTCTAATAATAGAAATCAAAAAACTATTCTCAAAAATTATAATCAAATTCTTTAAAAAGATTCAATTATTTTCAAAAATAATAAATCTGATTTAAGAATTTCAATTATTTTTAATACTATTTTCAATTAATTAATCGAAAAATTCAATTATTTTCACAAATAAAGTTTTCTACAAGAATTTAATTATTTAAAATTAAATTTTCATAAAATTTATTTTAATTCGAAAAAATTAATTAATTAAAACAATGTTTGTAAAATTCTTATAAAGAAATTAATTATTTTCAAAAAAAAAAAATTTTCACAGAATTTCAATTATTTTTAATAAAATTTTGCAGGAATTGGTCAAAAAATGTAATTCTTCTTAAAAATTAGATTTAAATTCCTCTAAAAAATTAATTATTTAAAAAAAACTTTTTTTTTAAATTCTTTCGAAGAATTCAATTTATTATTTACAAAAACAGTCGAATTTTTTATAGGAATTCAATTATTTCCAAATATTTTAATAATACAATTTTGATTTAATTTTTTTTATAAAATTCAATTAATCTTTTAAATTTTAATAAAATTTTTCGCAAAAATTCAATTATTTACATAAATAATTCTTCAAAGGAATTCAATTTTGTCGATAATTAACAAAATCATTCCCGAAAATTCAATTATTTTAAGGCATTTTAATAAAATTCTTTGCAAAATTCATTTATTTTCATAAATATTAAATAATATAATAATAAATATTCATCACAAGAATTCAATTATTTTTAAAAGTAATAATAAATTTCTTCTTGAAAATTCAATTATTTAAAAAAATTCTAATAAAATCGTTCGCAAGATATTCTTAATTATTTTTATAAATAATAAAATGCTTTTTAGGAATTCAATTATTTTCAAAAAAATTTAATAAAATACCACACAGACATTCAATTATTTGTCAAATATTTTAATAGAATTCTTTGTAAAATTTAATTATTTTTAAAAACTTTTCGCAATTCAATAATTTTTAATATCTACTAGTTTCATAAAATTTCCAAACAGAATTCAATTATTTAAAAAAATTTTTGTAATTCTTTTCATGGATAATAAAAATTTCATAGGAATTCAATTATTTAAATTAGAATTGGCTGAAAATTAGTCGAAAGAAATCAATTATTTAAAAATTTGTCTAAAATTCTTGTCAAGAATGAAATTATTTTTTTATACGAAAATTAATTTTTCTATTTTTCTATAACTAATTTCAAATAATTTTTTAAAATATTAAATATAATAAGATTATGATTTAAAATTAGTTAGAAAAATAAAAAAATGAATTTTCGTATCAAAAAATTGAATAACAATGGTATTTTTTAGCTTTTTCAACCTAAAAACAATGTTTTTTCAAAAAAGAGATTTAAAAATAGTAATAATCAATTTTTTCATTCGGCAATTTTTTGTCGATACAAAAGCATATTTTCTAGAAAATTACGGATGGATTTTAGAATCTATCAATTATTATGAATAATATAACAATTCTAAAAGTGAAAAAATATTTTCTGATTCATTTTACATTATGAAAAAATATTGCATAACAAAATTTTTATAGTTCATTTAAGATTTGACGTAAAATTGATTTTAAAAAACGATTTGGTTAAAAAAATTCTAGTCTAATTTTTAAGTAATCATAAAAGAAGTCTCATTTTTCAAAATAAAATAATTATTAAATAAGAACTGGAAGAATAAGAAAATTTATTTATTTAGAATTAATTTAATTTATTAATATAATTTTAAAACAAAATTACTTTTTTCAGATTAAAAACTGAAATTATGGACGAAGATTACGTGGAAAAATCATTTACCTTTAAATTTCCAACATGTACCACAAATCAAGAATATAAATTGGAAATTCCTTTACGAATTCCATTTTTAGGTTCAATAAAGGAACTTGTTCATCGTGCCATGCTTGCATTTAAACTGCCGTCTTATATTGAAAAAGATTTATTTGAATCGCTTGAAAGTACTGTGAATAGCTTAACATTGAAATTTCATGATGAGATGGCTGAAAAATGCATTGATGCAGCAGTACAAGGTGATTTAGATGTCGAGGAAATTATTAAAAATTGGGAGAAAATCTATAAACAAAAAACTGTAGAATACGCTGAACCCTTGGGAACAACAGATGAAGAGTTATTTGCTGCTGCTTATCATCGACTTGTGCATTCGCCTTCTTTAGAACCAATTTTACAAGCTGAACATAAATATGGAGGTGATGTGACGAAAGTGACTCAAATGAGAGATGCTGCTCAGGAGCAATTGACAAGAAAGTAAGTTCAGTTTATTTGTCTTTAGATTTTTATTGCGTCATCTCTTCTGTAACTTCATAATAATTATTTTTTATTTTATGTTTTTAACACTTCATAAAATGAAACTTGTTTTGTTTACAGATCGTTGACTTCATTATTTTACTATTTGAATAAATGTTTCGTAATTCTTTTGAAAAACTTGTTAATTTTCTAAATTATATTTTAGACAAACCGAAGAAATGTGTATAGCTGTAGAGACACTGGAAAGTGGCTCTACCGAGAAATCAATTAACGAAATGGCTGGTCGACATTTTGAAGAGATAAGTTTATTGCAAGGCCATTGGGGATCTAAAATTGATGCACTAAAACTCGAACAAAAAAGGCAACATCGAAATTGGATCATGAGATTATTAGAGGAGCAACAAACAAGTATGCTGTCTACTCCAGTGTACGTATTTTAAAATTAATTTCCAAATAACTTTTTAAGAAATTAGCATTTACAATTTTTTCTAAGTGAATAAAAAAGTTCTTTTTGTATTTAATTTTCTACTAAACAATAGTAAATGCAAAAATTAGTAAAATTTCCTCCAAAAATAGCAAACAGGCTTTGCACTCATCTACTATAAAACCTACTATTTTTATGAAATTTCGAAAAGAATTCAATTATTTAAAACAAAATTGATAAAATTCATGCAAAATTAAATTATTTTCATTAATAATAAATTTTACACAGGAATTCAATTAATTGAGAATAGCATTTTGAAAAAAATTTCGACAAAATCAATTATTTAACAAAATTTTTATACAATTCTTCACAATAATTCAATTACTTTCACTAATAATAAAATTTTCATCGAAATTCAATTTTTTAAAAAAATTTCTGATAAAATTCTAAGCAAGAATTCAATTATTTCCAAAAATAATTAAACTCATCAAAGAAATTCAATTATTTTTAATACTATTTTAAATTAATTAATCCAAAAATTAAATTATTCTCACAAATAAAGTTTTCCACAAGAATTCAACTATTTCAAATAAAATTTTCATAATATTTATTATATTTCGAAAAATTTATTATTTAAAACAATGTTTATAAAATTCTTATGAAGAATTCAATTATTTTCAAAAATCACAAGACTTTTCACGAAAATTCAATTCTTTTTAAAGATTTTAATAAAAAATTTTCGCAATAATTCAATTATTTTCATAAATAATAAAATTCTTCTCAGGAATTCAATTATTTTTGAAAATTTTAATAAAATTCTTTGCAACTATTAAATTATTTTCATAAATAATAAGATTCATCGCAGGATTTTAATTATTTTTAATTCAATTTTACAGGAATTGGTCCAAAAAATGTAATGATTCTTAAAAATTTGATTTCAATTCCTCAAAAAAATCAATTATTTAAAAAAATCTTTTTTAAAATGATTTCGAAGAATTCAATTATTTATGTATATATTATAGTGAAGGAGAATAATTAGAATTTTTCACAGCAATTCAATTATTTTCAAATATTTTAATAAAATTGTTCGAGAAAAATCAATTTTAAATACAATTTTAATTAAATTTTTTTTAATATAATTTTATTATTCTTTTAGATTTTAATAAAATTCTTCCCAAGAATTCAATTATTTACATAAATAATTCTTCGAAACAATTCAATTATGTCGATTAATAAGAAAATTTCTTTTAAAAAAATTCAATTATTTTCAGGAATAACAATATTTATCACAAGAATTCAATTATTTTTAAAAGAAATAAATTACTTCTTGCATTCAACTTAACTATTTTTTTAAATTCTAATAAAATCATTCGCGAGAATTCAATTATTTTTTTTAATAATAAAATGCTTTTTAAGAATTCAATTATTTTCAAAAAAATATAATAAAATACCACACAGACATTCAATTATTGTCAAAAATTTCAATAAAATTCTTTGTAAAATTTAATTATTTTAAAAAACTTTTAGCAATTCAATGATTTTCAATATCTACTATTTTCATAATATTTAAAGAGAATTCAATTATTTAAAAAAATTTTTTGTAAAAATCTTCGTACAAGAATTTAATTTTTTTATGAATAATAAAAATTTCTCAGGAATTTAATTATTTAAATTATAATTGGCTCAAAATTAGTCGAAAGAAATTAATTATTTAAAAAATTGTATAAAATTCTTGGCAAGAATTATTATATTAGTCGAAAGAAATTAATTATTTAAAAAATTGTATAAAATTCTTGGCAACAATTATTAGGTATATTATTTTTATAAATATTTAAATTGTTTCATGAAAAAAAAATAAAAAAAAATAATTTTTTTTTAAATTTAAAAAAAAATTTTTTTAATTTTTTTAAAATAAATAATAATAAAATAATAATAAAATTCGTTGCAGGAATTTAATTTATTAGCAGGATAAGAAAGAAGTAAATATTTTTGATGAAAATTAGGAAAAAGTCAGGAAAATAAAAAGTATGGAATGGAATTCTTGTCAGTTTTGTGAAGTGTCTAAAACGAGTTTTTTTGATCGACAGGTTTATTTTTTCGATAGTTACTTTTTTACTACTTTTTTTAGTTTTAAAACTACTTTTTGATACTTTTTTTAAAATTAGTTATCGAGGGTGAAGTCTGAGCTAAATTTGCTATTAAAAATAATTATTTGCAAAATAACTTTTACTATTAACGAAGAAAATTTCCTTAGAAAAATTAGAAAAATTAGAAAAATTTTCTTCATAAGTAGTAAAATTTACTCTGTAAATAAAATTATTTATTAGCAAATTGTACCGAATTTGAAGAAATTGTTAATAATTTTTATAGAAAAATTAACTTTGGAAACAGTAAAATGTGCTAGTAGGAATTATTATTTTATGTTTGTTACCTTGTATAAAAATTTTCTAAGATCAAAAAATCTGAAATTATAAAATTAAAAGATTTTTAAGTTCCAAAAAACTAAAATTTTTCCAATAGTTGCAAAAAGTAAAAAAAAATTCCTTTATTTCGACCAACAATTTTTCTAATTTATAAAAAATGGTAATTTTTGTAAGTTTATTTTTTAAAGAGAATAAGAAAGAATATTTATGATTTTCGGTGTTTTTTTTAAATTTTATTAATGTGAGAAAATAAAAAGATGAAGAGAGGAAATAAAGGGGCAAATTAAAAAAATTAAAAGTTCAAAAACCTTTTAAAATTTAAATAAACATTCTTGCATAAAAATTATAATCTAGAAATTTATTTCAATTTTCCCGATTTTCCAAAGTGTCAAAACATTTTAATAATTTTCGTAATATTATTTTCTCAAGTTCTTTTATCTATACAAAAAGAATGATAATTAATTCTTTGTATCCAATTAATTTTACAGGGAATCACCTATGGTATCAATTCCTCCTATTAGACCAGGATTGAATAATTTTTGTAGAAATGATGAAAAAAGTACGACAGATTTTCCGCAATTAGAAGAAAGTTTTACTATACACTTGGGATCCCAAATGAAACAGATGCATAATATTCGTATTTTAACCGGTGATGTTTTAGATTTTTGCCGAGTTAAACTTAATGATAGCGGGTAAGTAAAAAAAAGTTTTTATATTCTTGCATATGAGATCTCGTACGATCACATAAAATTTCTCAAAAAAGATTTTATATGATATCAAAACAAAAAATTTTTTATGAAATTTCTGCTTAAAAAACTTTGTTAATTTTAATTTATCATAATCAACTTAAAAACTCATTTTTAAATGTATTTTCTTATTTTTTAATTGAAAATTAAAAATTAAAAATTTATTTTTAATGTATAATAAAATTTATTCTTGTTAGTGTTGATCCGACACCTCAACGACTTCAAACAGCATTAGGATTGTATTCAAATGATTTGTGTGGATTGGTACTTCTCAGTGATAGTAACTTAGGAGTTTTTTCCGGAATCACGAAAGGTTAAGAAGATTAATTTAAAAAAAATAAATAAATAAATATGTGGACGTCCGCATGAAAAGGGACCACTTTGGCACTATTGGACTTATCTATATGGGCGAATTCCTGACAAAATTTGGAAAATTTTGAGTGGTCTTACAACCTTTTTGGTAAAAAATTCGATGAGTTACAGAATTTTAAAGTTTAGAGTATCAAATACGTCATTTCGAGAAAAACGAAATCAAAGATTGTAATATGAATATCTGTGGTTCTTCTGGGAAGTTATTCAGATAATAGTTGTTTTAAGTCTAGTACACCCTTAAGATTGAAAATCAATAGGTTTCGAATTCCCCCCCCCCCCCTCTCATTTTTTAACAATGACAAAATAATGGATCTCCGACAAAGTGGTCCCTTTTCTAAAAATACGGTTATTAATTAATAAAGTGGAATATTTAACGAATTTAAAGGTTCGGTGTTATTTTTTAAAGTTATTTCAAGCAAATAAAAGAAAAGTAGCCTAAAAAAATTTTTTAAGCGACTTTATTATAAAAAATCTTAGAAAACATTAAAAATTTCATTTCTAAAAACACGAAATTAAAAATTGTAATGCGAATTTCTCCGGCTCTTCCGGGAAGTTATTCAGATGAAAATTGTTTTAAGTCTAGAACACCCTTAAGATTGAAAATCAATAGGTTTCGAATTTTTCCCTACCTTCGTTTTGAAACAATGAAAAAATAACAGATTTCCGACAAAGTGGTCCCTTTTCATTTTTTTTTTTAACAACGAAATAAAATACTTAGAGTGTCAATAAATTAATAAAAACTGCATGAATCGACGTGGTAGACCCTGTAGATTAAGAAAAAAAGATAAAAACAATTTCAATATTTTTCTTCAAAATTAGTAAATTGCGAATATCTCGGAATCTAGAACCGACAAAGTGGTCCCTTTTCATGCGGACGTCCACATATAATAATAATAATAATAATAATAATTTTTATTTATTTATTTTTTTTTTAAAAATTACGTCTTGATATATATATTTATTAAAATAAAATTACATTTACTGAAAACAATGCTTATTTTACAGAATTAAGTTCAATATGTCAGCTCACTACGGAATTTCATTTTCCTCCAATTGATGATCAATTAGAAAAAATTCGTGATGATGTCAAAGAAGCTGTTACATGGAAACAAGAACACCAAAGAGAAGAAAGTGAATCTCAGGTTTACAAGTATTAACGATTATTAACTATAGATTAAATATATGGTTATTTGGAGTAAATGTAAACAGTTATAGTTTGAGATTATATTTAAGTTATCTCTTAATACATAAAAGATTGAAAATCAAAGTCTAACAGTTTTAGTATTTTTACTCGTATTTACATAAAAGTAAACTAAAAATCCAAACAAAAATTTACATTGTTTCATTTATCACTCTTCCGATAATCGAATAAAAAAGGATTTACAAAAATTTACAATTATTTCTAATTAATGCTATAACAAAATTTGACTTTGCTTTTTGAATTTTGTCAATTTAGTTAATAAATAATAAACTGTTTGCATTTACCACAAAATTTTTTTACTTTATTAAAAGTAATAAATTTCTTCGCAGAAATTCAAATAAGTTGAAATTTTTTTTAAATTCTCGTCAAAATTTCAATTATCTTTATAAATAATAAAATTCATCTCCGGAATTCAATTATTTTCAAAAATTTTCCTCAATTCAATGATTTTCAATATCTACTATTTTAATAAAATTTTCCAAAAGAATTCAATTGTTCAAAAAAAATTTTAATACAATTCTGCGAAAACATTTAACTATTTTCACAAAACAATAAAAATTTCACAGAAATTCAATTATTTATAAATGTTTTAAAAATTTCTTCTTAACAACTCTATTACTTTCATAAATAATAAATAACAAAAAACTTTATAAATAACAAAATTCTTTAGGAGAATTCAATTATTATTATTATAATAAAGAACAAAGTTCTTCGCAAGAATTTAATTATTTTCAAATTTTATTTATAAAATTCTTCGTAGTAATTCAATTATTTTCAAAAATAACAAAATTTTTATCAGGAATTCAATTATTTTCAAAAATTATCATAAAATTCTTCGACAAAAATTCCATTATTTTCAAAACTTTTAATAAAGTTCTTGACAAGAATTCAATTATTTTCAATATGACAAAATTGTTAACATGAATTCAATTATTTTTAAACTCTTCATAAAATTTTTCGCAGAAATTCAATTCTTTTTAAAACTTTCAAATAAACCTCTTCAAAAATAACAGAATTTTTCGCAGAAATTCAATTATTTTTAAAAATAACAAAATTTTAATCAGGAATTCAATTATTTTTAAAAATTTTAAATAAAGTTCTTGGAATAAATTTAATAATTATCATCATAAATTACAGAATTATTCACTGAAATTCAATTATTTTGAAGAATAATAAAATTTTTTAACATGAATTCAATTATTTTCAAAAATTTTAATAAATTTTTTGGCTGGAATTCAATTATCTTTATAAAATAATAAAGTCCTTCAGCAAAAAATTTTCCTGAATTTAGTGATTTTTAATATCTACTATTTTAATTAAATTTTCCACAAGCATACAATTATTTAAAAAAAATTTTTCTTAAAATTCTACGCAAACATATAATTATTTTCATAAATAATAAAAATTCCACAACAAATTTTTTAAATAATTCAATTAATCACACATTTTTTTATAAATTTCTTAGCAATAATATCATTATTTTCATAAAGAATAAAACTTTTTACAGAGATTCAATTATTTTGAATTATTTTTGAATTATTTTTATAAATAATAATAATATTGATTTTAGCAATTCAATTATTTTCATAAATAATAAAACTCATCGCAGAATTTCAATTATTCTTAGAATAAAATTTTTTATCTAATTCCTGGAAGAATGTTATTATTTTTAAAAATTTTATTAAAATTCGTCAAAAGAATTCAATTAATAAATTATTTTAAAATATTCAATAAATTATTAATTTTTGTATTTAAAGAATGGAATTCTTGTAGAATTTTTTAAGAAAAATTGATTTAAAAATGAATTTCAGTTAAAATTTTAGATTATAATTGAATATTAAAAGCATTAGGTATAACGTGAATTTTTCGAAATAATAATTGAATTTTGAAAAGGTTTCAAATTAAAATCTTAGAAAATCTGAATTTTTCATACTTTTAACTAACAATTCTGTAGAATTAATTCTTTTGAAAAAGTTTATATATATTCGTAAAATTCATACATGAATATGAATAATCATGATTTATCTGTGTACATTTCAGGTTAAAAAATTATCAAGTAAGGCACTACAAACGGGTGATGTTTTTATAACTCGACATTCCAATTTGGCACAAGTGCACGTTCTATTTCACATGGTGGTGAATGATTCTTTGAGATCGGGTAAATATAATCCACAGTTTCAGCTTACTTTTACTCAAATTGTATTTTATAACAAAAAAACATCTTCTTTGTAGGTGACATTAATTCCAGACATCCAGCTATTTTAGGATTAAGAAACATTTTGAAAAATGCTTGTTGCAATGATGTGACGACACTCACAATTCCAGTATTATTAGTTCATGAAATGACAGAGGTAATTTATTCTTATCTAATGAATTATTGTATATTTATTCTTATCTCAGAAACTTTCACGAAACTTTTATTTATATTTTGCTTTCGAATTTTTATTTGCAAAAAAATCAGGATGGCCACATGTCAGTAACGTCAGGAAAATGACAGTAAAACAAAATTCTCGTCAGTAAAGTCAGAGAAATTCAGAAAATTTAAAGAATTTAAATTGCAAATATGGAAAATAATTGAATTATCAAAAAATTTTTAATTAAAATCTTTAAATGTTAATTTCAAAATAAAAATGAATAAAAATTAGCTTCTAATTTTTAAAAATTCAATATTTTCAGGACTTTTAATTACATATTTCCGAAAATTCAAATATATACAAAAGTAATAACATTATATAATTATTTTTAACATTTTGGGGGAAAAAATAATGTTCAAAATTTCTAATTAAAATTCATCAAAACATTAATTATTCTTTTTTAAATTATACAAAAATTCTTTTAAGAAATTCAATTATTTTCAAAAAAATTACAATAAAATATTTTCAAAAACTAATTCCTAGAAATGTTTTATATTAATTTTTTAAGATTCAATTCGAACAAAGTAAATACAAATTTATAAAAATTTAATGTTTTAGATTTATTAAAATTTCGGAGAAATTAAGGTTCTACTTGTAATTAAAATTCTTCAAAATTATTTTTATTTATATTTTTTAAAAATTCAATTATTTTTAAAAGTTTTTAACAAATTTCAATTCTTTGGAAAAGTTTTCAATTGTATATAATTAAAAAACTATTATCTTTCAAAAATTATTTAAAAATATTTTTAAAGAATTATTTGTAAGAATTTCTTTTTCATATTTTTTGGAAAATATTATAACCTTATAACTTAAGAAAAAAACATGGACAGTTAAAATTTATTTTTAAAAAATGAGTTTTTGTATTTGAATAATTGGATTCTAGGAGAACTTTAGGAAAATTATTTAAAATAATTGCTTTAGAGATGAAGTTTAGCTGAAAATTGTAGAAAATAGTTAAATTCTGAAAATGATAAAAATTAAAAATTTTAATATCGTACCTGTGTGCTAAAACTGTTTTGTAACAAAACTGGTTCCTAAATGACAAATTAAAGATAAGTTTTTTATTTTTCAGGATATGACAGTTGCATGGTGTACAAAAAGAGCAGAATTAGTATTTAAATGTGTAAAAGGATTTATGATAGAAATGGCTTCGTGGGGTGGAGCAGAATTAAAGAATTTGCAATTTTTAGTTCCAAAGGTAATAAATTTATTGAAATTGAAATGAATTTATTTGAATTGAATATGAATATTAAAAAATATATATTTCTTCCAGGGAATGTCTGATGAAGTATTTGGTACTTTAGCTATTATGCTTCCAAGCATATTTCGAGTATCAAATCCACTAGTTTTTAAAGCTACAAGTACTCCTCAAACTCCAAAAAAATGACAGGTAAAAGATGAAGAAAGAAATTTTTTTAAAGTTTATTGAAAATTAAATTTTCAAAATGAATGAATTTTAATCATTTTTATTGTAATTATTTAAAAGGAAAATCTTTAATATTTTTTAGTACGTATTGTAACTTTTTAACTTGTAATTTTAAGGAGATTATGCGTTAGGGTAAAGAGAGCCTTAAAGGGATGTCAAATTCGTGTCAATTTTTTTTTACTATGAAAAAATTTCAACGACTTCGACATCTCCATGAGAAATCTTGTAAATTTTCTATAGAAAAATGAACTATTGAAAACGTGAAAAAAAAACAAATGACAAACTTTTGAACTCGTAACTGAATACAAGAAAGTAATTTTTAATTTTTGTATTTTGAAAATTAAAATTTGAGTTCAAGAATGTATTACTTTTTTTTACTCTAAGTTTTATAAGATCGCTAATTTAATTCTTGAAGAATTAATTATTATACAATTATTAATTATAAATTATTTAACGAATAATTTAAGTGAAAAATTCTGAAAAAATTAGTTTCTGAAATTATATTTTGAAATTAGTTGAATTTTTGAATATATTTAAATGAAAAATTTTTGAATAATCGAAATTTCGTAAATATTATTGAATAAACTTTTACGTCCGAGTTAATTTTAATTGGAATATTAATTCGTAAATATTAATTATAAACAAGTGAATTTCAGAATTATTTTGAATGGACTTTCTTTCTTTGAAATTTAATTAATAAATAAATAAAAATAATAATTAAAGAATTGGAATTTTTATTTTTTAAAATTAAAAAATTTACAAGACTTCTTAATTGTTTTGTATTATAATTACACTCTGTATAAATATAAAATAAAAGAACAAAAGATACATGTCTGCTACTGTTATTAAATTTTTATAAGGATAAAACTCGATGAAATTTTGAAACCATGAAAAAGCCATGAAAAATGTGAATGAATCTTAAAGGGGATTTGTAACAAAATGTATAAGGGTAATTCTGTCAAAGGATTCATTTTTTCAATGAAAATGAAGAATAATTTTTAATGTTGAAGTTTTAAGCAAAAAAAAAGAGTTTAAAACTGTTTATTTTCTTTAAATTGAAATTGGTTCTTATTTTAAACACTGTGATCGAAACGTGATTTACAAGAAGAAAACAACTTCAATTAGAAAAAAATAGTTTTAACCTGATAAAGTATGCAATTTTTAAACCTTTATACATTTTAAAATAGATCCGGGATGAAAACGAAAATTTCGGTGTGATTTAGAAGTTGTAAAAGTGAGAGAATTTTTTTTTATTTTTCTTTAACGGAGATATTAACTTGCAAAGTAGGCAAAAATTCAGAAATCGCGTACTTTCATCTCAATATTTTTTGTATATTTAAAGAAAAAATTAAAAAAGTGATAAGAAAACCTGAAAGTTCATCAAAAATACTCCACATTCGGTGAGTTTTTATTTAATTAAATAATTCCACCAAGGTGGAATTAATTTATAGAAACGTCAAAATTAGGTTATTTGTCGAACCTTCTTTAAAAACATATTTTATCTGTTATTTTAATTTTTTCACTAGTTTAATTATTAAAAAATATTTAATCAACTAATTTTTAAGTAAAATCAATAATTCTTGTTGCACTTTCGAGAATTTTTGAAATGTTTTTTATACTCATATTTTTTTAAAATTCGGCCCCAACGACTTTATTCGAATTATAATGGTTTGACCCTAATTATTGGATTTTAAGTTCTATGTAGTTTTCTTTATTTGTTGAAGTTTAAAACAATGACAATCAATTAGGGAATAGGACAATGTTTAAATTTAAAAAAAAATTGTTTTCTTCATAATGTAGGTAAAAACTATTAAATTTATTTTGTCCAACGCCTTCGTGGAAATAGAACTATTGTACGCTAGGCACCAATGGAGGAATGTAGTACATTTCCCCACTGGTGGTTTGGCCAGTGGAGAAATGAAGTCATTTCCCCACTGGTGGTGGAATGAGAAATTGACTAATCGATTTTTTATTTTATATTAGAATTAGAACATTTTAGGAACAGAATTTTGAGGACACTCTGGGGATCTTTAGAGACACTTTCAAAACATTCATTTTTGAAAAATTTTTTTCCAAAATTTTTTTTCAAATTTTTTTCAAAATTAGATTTTGTTTCACTCTCAGTTATTGCTATAACATCATTGTAATATTTTGATTTCGATAAATAACGAGTAAAGTCAACTTAAAATTTTGAAAAATTAATAGTTTAAATTTATTATTTATAAAAAAAATTTTTTGCAGTTGTTGGACAAAATAGTATGTGCAACTTGTGGAGAACAGCGATTTTCGCTCGCTCGATTGCTGCGCGCGCTACGCTTGCGCAGCAAACTTCGAGCTCGCGAGAAATCGACCTTGTTCTCCACTCGTTGCACAATCTACTATTTAATAATTAAATTATACCTACAATAACATTCTTAAAGTTGTAATTATAATTAACTTAGAAAAGTCCGTAATATTTTTTCTCCAAAAAATATTTAAATGAAAGCAACACTAAAAGAACTAAGTGGCATCTAAAATAATTGAAATTTGACAGATGCAATTAAAATTTTTACTAATTAAGTTAATTTTTAAAAAAAATTTACTTTTAAGCAGTTTTATTAAAAATTCTAAAAAAAATTGGTTTCTAAAATATTTTATGCAAAATCTAATTTAAATAATTGAATTCCTGAGAAATTTTTATTATTCATGAAAAAAATTGAATTTTTACGAAGATTTTTAGAAAAAATTTTGAAATAATTGAATTTTGTTTGGAAATTTTATGAAAATTGATATTGAAAATCATTGAATTGCAAAAAGGTTTTAAAAATAATTAAATTTTACAAAGAATTCTATTAAAATTATTAAGAATAATTGAATGACTGTGGCATTTTATTAAATTTTTTTGAAAATAATTGAATTCCTAAAAAGTATTTTATTATGTAAACTACAAGATATAGAATATGAACACTAAACTTTATTTAATACAATAATTAATACAACGGATAAAAAGAAATGACATGCATCGTGTAGCGTCTATCAAAAAATACTGTCTTTATGCGCAAGAGCGCCCTTCTTCCTTTACACTCACGACGCCTACAGAACTAAACCGGCACTATTTTGAATTTTAAATTTATTCCACTAAAAGATCTTTTTATTGATTTTATTTTAAACTGAAAATCCTACACTCGGTCATCTTGACAACATCTGACCTCAGATGTTCTGGCACTGGGAACTAGTTTTCTTCAAACTCAGACCACTGTTTCATGTGATCACTCGCTGTTGATGTTGTTTTTGGACCCTCACCGTTGCCGATTTTTTCCACGATGTACCGATCATTCCGTAATACTTTAGTTACCTTGTAAGGCCCCAAATATTTTGCCCGGAACTTTAAACCTGGACCTCCTTGAGTCCTTTGAATAGCTACAATGTCATCCTTCTCGTATTCATGCGGAGCTTTTCGCTTTCGGTTATAGCTCTTCTTATTCTCTTCTTGCATTTTTTTGATTTGTGCGTGAGCTTTTTCACGATGCTCACAGCGTTTTTCTTGAAAGTCCAATAAAGTCTCTTCTTCCAAAATTTCTTGCACACGTAAATCTTCCTTTAGTCTCATTTTGACTCCAAACTGAAGAAAAAACGGAGAGAAACCTGTGCTTCGGCATGGTGCGTGATTATAATACTGTTGAGCTATTCCAACAAATTTGTACCATTGCTCAGCATGAGGCATGGATAACTTAGTCATCATAGGAATCAACGTCCTGTTGACCCTCTCCACTTGGCCATTTCCTCTTGGTATTCCAGTCACAATTGCATGATGTTGAATATTTTCCCGTTGACAGAAAGTTTGAAATTCCTGGGAAGTAAATGCAGTCCCTTGATCTGTAATGATTGTCCTTGGATTTCCAAAAACTAACGCTTGTTTTGTTAACCTATCTACTACCTCTGACGACGTTGTACTCTTCGTTGGGTAAAACCACACAAATTTGGTAAAAGCATCTATTACCACCAAGATGTGCTTATAACTTTTACTTGTCGATGGCATCGGCCCAATATGGTCGACGTGATACGTATCTAATGGAGATTCTTTCTGGATTGGATGAAGAAAGCCATCCTTTTTTCCGGACTTTCTTTCTGCGAGGATACACACAATGCAGTTTTGGATCACCTTCTCAACTTGCGCTTGCATATTCGGAAACCAGTACTCATCTTTGAGTAATTGCATTGTTCTTGCAGTAGCGAAATGTCCACTCTCATGAACTTGTCGAATTAATGAAGTTTGCATCAATTTTGGCACAACAATTAGATCTTCTCCTTTCAAATTGATCATTAAAAGTCCTCGAGTAACATGATAACCATCGGTAGTCTCTCCTTCAGTAATTTTTTCGCTAATTATGCCTTCAATTCTTCGTCCTCTTCTTGACTTGAACGTAAACTCTCTACAAGACCTGTCTCACATTGACTAATTATCATTGCAGAAGGTAGAGGAAACCTGCTCAACGCGTCCACGTGACGCATGTTGTTTCCTGGTCGATGAACAATCCTGTATCGAAATTCTTCTAAGAATAGAGCCCACTTTGTCACTTGAACAGATAGATCTTTTTTCTTTAAAGTCTGAGTAAATGCTTTACAGTCCGTCACAATCACGAAATCTATTCCGAGTAAATACTTTCGGAATTTTTTCAAGGCCCTGATGACAGCTAAAACTTCCAATTTGTAACTATCATACCTTGATTCCGCTGGTGATGTCTTACCACTGGCATAATACACTGGATGCATAAGATTGTCGTCATTACTACGCTGCAATAGGATTGCTCCAAATCCCAAACTTGATGCGTCCGTGTGTAATTCCGTCTCAGCTGTTGATTTAAATAAATGGAGTATCGGCTGCTCACTCAATGCTTTTTTTAATTGATTAAATGCATTTTCCTGATGTTCTCCGAATTGAAATTCCTGTTCCTTCCGAAGTAAATCCGACAAAGGTCGAGCAATAAACGCGTACTGTGGAATAAATTTCCTAAAATACCCGGTTAATCCTAAGAAACTTTGTACAGCCTTTACATTATTCGGTTTAGGGAAGTGTTTCACGGCATTCGTCTTATCTTCACTAGGCGACACTTTTCCACTTTCAACAATATGTCCGAGATAGTTAATTTTCTCTTTCAAAAACTGACACTTTTGCCAGTTGAATTTCAGTCCGTATTCACTAGCCACTTTTAGTACACGACGTAGCTTTTCCACTCCTTCTTCCACGTTGTCTGATGGAATCACAAAATCATCGATGTACACTACGACGATCCCTTCTCTAATCAATTCACGAAATACCGCTTGTACATATCTGAAAAAATATGCAGGTGAATTACAAAAGCCGAACGGGGCTCTCGTAAATTCATAATGTCCACTCGGTACACTAAACGCGGTATATTTTCTGCTTCCTTCTTTTA